AGCCCAGGCTGCCCTTGAGCTTCACATTCCCCACCAGCCCCTCCTTGTTGGTGAGAACAAGGTCCAGCATAGCACCTCTCCTCATTGGCTCCTCTACCACTTGGAGGAGGAAGTTATCATCGATGCGTTCCAGGAACCTCCCAGATTGCTTATGCCCTGCCGCGTTGTCCCTTCAACAGATGTCAGGGTCGTTGAAGTCCCCCATGCAGACCAGGGTTTGTGAGCGTGAGGCTGCTCCTATCTATCTGTAGAGGGCCTCATCCGCTCGGTTCTTCCTGGTCAGGTGGCCTGTAGCAGACCCCCACCGTAATGTCACCTGTCCCTGCCTTCCCTTTAATCCTGATGCACAAGCTCTCAGTTGGCTCCTCATCCATCCCCAGGCAGAGCTCCATGCACTCCAGCTGGTCATTGACAGAGAGGGTGACACCCCCTCCTCGTGTCCCCTGCCCGTCCTTCCTAGAGACCCTGTATCCCTCCATCACAACACTCCAATCATAGGAGCCATCCCACCACGTCTCTGTGATGCCAATAAGGTCGTAAAATAAGCAGCACAGTAGGAGCACTGTGTGTAGTTGGAAGGCTTTATGGGGAGATTGCTAATGAGAAGTATTGATCTACGACCCAAACCTGAAAATCAATTAAAAGAGATTGAATGTATGCATCCCTAAACATATCTAATCTGTTTTCATTTTTTTTCCTAAGCTGTTTTAAGTTCCATTTATTTCCTTGTTAGTTGAGTACACTGTTGCAAGCAAAGGCAAGTAGTTAACGCCTTTTGCCTAACTGACACACAGAACTTGAGGCTTGTTCTCCCTAAAAGTCTGTAAAAACACCATCAGGTTGGAACCAAAGACTTGGATCTTTATTCTGTTAAACAATATTTTGTGTCACTTATCAATAATCCTGCTTTTTTTCTCCTACTGTTTTTTAGTACATGAGCTACAACCTGCTGACATCAAAGTTATAGGAGCACTGGGAGATTCCCTGACTGTGAGTACTGCTGTGTTCCCACATTTAGAATGAGAAGAGCAATTGTTGATTTCTACCTAGATGTGGTTGTGTCAGGTATTATCAGATAGAAATCAAATTGCTTTGGCTTGGCAAAGCAAAACTCATCTACCTGTGTCCCTTTGCAAAGAAATAGCCTGAAGGGATATGAGTGACACTGGCAATTGTGTAATCCAGTAATGAATAATTCAGGCCAGAACAGAAATGGGATCACATTCTCTATTGCATGTAGTTTATTCGAGTGTCTTTGAAAAGGGAAATGTCTGCCTTATAAGAATAGTCTTTTCCGACATAAAAACAAGAGCAAGCAATTGGTGTTTTTCATGCAATGAGAAATCTTGATGAAAATTCCGATGGAAATAATTGATTGCAGAACGAAGTGCTTCTCACTTAAGATAATTCTGATACTTCTGTATTTCAGAATTTTGCTTTCAGATGTTGTTTCCTGGTTTAGGCATCTTCCAGTTAAAACTCTGATGTATTTCGTGTACCAAGAAATGCAAACGGAAAAGAAAAGACTAGGCACAAAAAAGAAAGGCTCCAGAAAAGAGTAGCAGGGAATACTACAGATCTGCACTGAAGTTTTCTGAGAAAAAGTTCCAGAATTACACAGCACTACAGAATTGTTCTGGCATGGGATGAAAGCAAACATTTGTGTCAACAGTTCCCATGAATTTTAGCTCCTGAGCTAGACCAGTGCTCATTCTAGCAGCTTCCGCTCCCGTAGAGATCAGAGGGAGTTGAAGGGACTGAAGCCCCTATAGATCAGGCTTATCTATAGGCAGGTGTGCATGTCTTCACCTCCTCCTTAGCTCTGAAACAGATTTTGCTTGACCTGATGTAATCCTGGCTTTTTCCCCCCACTGAGCTTTGAGCTTTTCTTAGAAGACCTCAGTAATGACCCTGCAAGTCTCCCTCTTATCCATTGCCATAACTCTTAAAATTAATTGCTTGATTTCCTCCCTCACATCTAGTGCTAGACATGTGCACTAGCACACATCTCTTCTTTTTTAAATTTTAATTCTTTTAGTACATAAAATCTCTCAGAGAGCCCTAGTCATAAGGGCCAGACTCTGATGCTTGAGGTCCCTGTCTCAAGAGCTGAGCAAGAGAGTTTTCATACTACCATTACTCATGCAGTTCGTATTAGTTGCCATTGCCACAGCAAGATATGACTGGGTTTTTTATTAAGGGGTTTATTGCTGGTGGGGGGAAAAAAATGACAGTTTCTTTTCTGTGCATACGCACAAACCCTCATAAGCGTGCGTGCACACACACAAAGTGCAGTACAGCCAGCAGCAGTGCATACTTTGTACTGCCTAACCATCCCTGGCACAGAGGGACTGCAGCAGCAAAGATCTGCCTTGGTCCACTAAGGCATTGATTTTCCTCCTGGTATTTCCCACAAGAGCCCTGAATGCAGTCAGTGTTTATGGCTGAATTGATACCAGGTCTTTTTGAAGAATACAAGATTAAGTGAAACCACTAAGAAACTATAAAGCTGCGGAAGAGCCCATTTTCATGATTGCTGTCCTGAATGCGAGTCAAGGTGCTGACCTTGCTAGAGTTCTGTCCCAGTCCTGTGAGCTACTCAAAATCATCACAAACCTTTTTGTTCTGATGGCTTTATTTATTTATTTGTAAAAGATGCAAAAGTTCACACTGCAGGAAGGCTGTTCTCAGTCTAGATGCAGTTGGAGATTAATGAAACATTGGGCAATTTAGTCATGTCACTGGCTAGAATGCATCTGTCTGACTTCTTAGCACCAATGCACAGTGAAAGCAATAGATATGCCAACACGCTTATCTGTATTGGCAAAAAAAATCCTGCCTACACCTCATCAAGTCTGCGTGTTAGACTAGCAGTCTGGGTCCAGCAGAGAAGTGGATTTTACACCAAAGATTTGTTTTCTTGGCAGATTAAAAAGCAGCTCCTCTACTGATTTATTTACAGCTAAGACTGGCTGGGAATTTTTCACCAGTGGGTTTTTTTTTTTCTGGATTAAGTCTCTCAAAAATCAGCTTTCTTCAGGAAATGCCAGGATGAAGCATTTTCCATCAGAAAAATCCAAACAAATACAAAGCTGTTATGTTAATCTGGGTCCGTAATGATGTCTCGTTGGGTTGCTTGCTAAAAGAATATTAGTAGTAGTAGTTCTAAAGCCTTATGTCCTTGACCTTACAGTCTGAAGCCCTCTGGCTGGAATATATCTCTTCTGATGTTCCATGATCTACTATCTAGATGAGCTGCTTTTGTGTATGAGGAGAAGCCTGTGAATTTGAAGCATGGGAGATGCAGGGCTGCCCAGAGGCCAGTGTGTGATGGTGAATAAGAATCATAGAATCATTAAGGTTGGAAAAGACCTCTAAGATCATCGAGTCCAACCGTCAACCCAACACCACCATGCCCACTAAACCTAAGTGGTCCCTAAGTGCCTCATCTACACGTCTTTTAAATACTTCCAGGGATGGTGACTCAACCACTTCCCTGGGCAGCCTGTTCCAATGTTTAACCACTCTTTCAGTGAAGAAATTTTTCCTCATGTCCAAAATGGACATGGACCATTTATGCTAAAACTGGGATATTGCAAAAGCTTGGCTGGATGCAGGGTAAAGTTACCACAATGCTTCAGCACTTTCAAATCATGATGTCTCTCTTACCTAAACTTGTAGCACTTTCTTCTAGTATTTTATAAATGATTCTTTCCATCCTTTCCAGACTGCAGTAGGAGCCAAAGCAACTGACCTACAAACAGACTGGAGGGGACTTTCCTGGAGGTGAAAATGCTCAATTTTCTCTTTCTCTATTTTTGTCCACAGACACAGTTAAAAGTGTGGGTCACCTGGTTGTGTAGTTACATACTTAAGTATGTAAGTGCAGGGGTAGGATGCTGAAAGCACGTATTGCTGGGTAAGGATTGGAGGAGTCAGGACTGGAAGAGAAAGGGGGTGATTCCTGGGGAGGGGGGGGATGTTTTTGTGCGGTTTTTGTTGCTGTTTTTTAACCAGGCCTGATTGCTACAAGCATGGTCCTGTGTGTCTGACAGTACTGCATTATTAATATGAGTGAATTCTTTCAGCCTCCTGCTAGCCTCTCTGGAGTTTATTCAAAGCATTGCTGTTGCTGTGATTATCTAATGCAGTGTCTAATGCCAGAGAGTCTGAGTGAGTGTGGATTGGCATGAACATGGTGAGAGCACTGCATGCATATTCAATGAAGATGTCCCAAACATCTTTGCTATTGCAAAGTGGACGAAGACAATACATGTCAGAGTGGGTGTGAATCTCAATATCCATGCTAGAGTGGAAGGAAACTGCGTGCTTCATATGGGCAGAAGTATGGTTGATAAGCGTGTGCGCATGTATACATTCTTTTCGTCATCCTTTCTTCCCCCCTTGTGTGTATCTGCAGGCATAGATGCCTTCAGGAGGGGCTGACAGAAGTGGTGCAAGAATGTATTGACTATGCACACAGACAAGTTTTGAATGGTAGAGGGAGAGGCTCATTTCATAATCGACATTGCAGAATCCCAGATAGGTGGTTAATGAGCATTTAATGCAGTCTGTCTTTTATGCATAACTGCACGCAAATGTAGTTTCAGCAAGGTCACTTGGAGCAACTTTGGTGAGGGACTATGCCTTTCTATGATGGGCATCCCAGCATGTCTATATGAAAAATCAGTTCTCCCAGTGTGCTCTATTCCTGGTCTGGAGGCATAGCTTCTACCTTAGCTGATGCCCTGCTTGATTTAACGTGAAATCTCCTTTCAGTACTTTCCCTGAATTCTTGTGGTTTATCTCCTTAGTCCTGTTTGAGGTTAGTCTGTCTTTTTTTTTTTTTTTTTTTTTTCCTTCCTGGGCTGCTACAGCAACATATGGTGACAATAAGACAGATGGTTGCAGGATTAACCCTACTTGGTGATTTTGTTCTTTCCCTTTGTAGTATTGGAGGTGATGAGACCCTGGAGACCCAGACTACTTTACCCAGTGAGTATCCTGGAAAATCAATTGAGAAAAGCAAAAGGCGAGTATTACTCTGAAAGTAGTCTAAGTGGATGCTAGGAAACATCTGGAAATGGTCATGCTTTCCTGGCAAACAGTGGGGGATGCCCATCTATTGTGGATGTGAGCAGTTCATGTGAGCCACAGCTGAAATCCACACTGACCTGACTAGCTGTAAAGTTGATTCAGGCCCTCCACATCACAGGACCTGCATGTGGCTGTATCGTTCTTTTGACAGAAATGATTAGGAGTAAATGTGCTGAAGGTGACAGAAGTTCATGGCAGACCTGCTCCTCCCGTATTTCATTTTGTGCTTTCCAGTGACTGACTGTAATGGCTGTGGGCAAATGAAGGGTTATGAAACAATTAGCAGTCCATCTAGAGAGGGTTGTTGACAAGATTATGGTTCCTCCTGATGATTTCAAGTTGCTACACTGCACTGAAAAAAACTCTAAAATTACTATAAATTTCTTGTCCTAGTGTTCTGTGTAATCAGTCCCTGTAGTTGTCATAGAAAGCATTAAGTGGTCAGTGTGACCCTAAATTGGAGGGGACTTGGTTCACAATGGTTCATCTATTTGTATGTGATCCACGCTGTGGAGCAGTTTGACAATACCTGACATTGTTGGTAATAAAATCTGATATGCTTTGTCTTGTACCACGCACATTGCTGTGTTTAAAGAAAAATAGAAGGCGCATTTCATTTATGCATTATAAATGAGACTCTATAAAGAGGTTTCAGACAGCACTACAGACACAGTAACAATAACAGTTTTCAGACACCACGCTTCCCCACTGAGGGTTTCGGTGAAATCTAGAAATGTGAATAAAATTCACTTCTCTGCAATAAATATTATTATCTTGATGGGTAGCTGGAGGAGTGGGAGGTAAAGGGCCATATTTGGAGCATCTGCTCCTGGTACATGAAGGAAAGTAACCGTGATTACTCTGGCACTCAGATTCAAAACTAGTGAGTTGCCTGGGACCTGTGCATCTCCTGGACTGCCAGACCCTGGCTCCTCAAGGCCACGGAGAGAAATAGTTGCAGTGCTGAAGTTTGGACAGTAACTAGAGTCTCCAAGACAGATGTGTCTATAGCTTCCGTAAGGTCACAGTGAATGGGGGGAAAACCCAGGTTCATATTCTCACCACTCGATCGGCTTGCACTTCTGGGGGAGCCAGCGCTGCCAGTTGTACTGTGGATGGTTAAACACTGCGTTTTTCTCTTTTTAAGATATCTTGAAAAAATTCAATCCGAACCTCTTTGGCTTCTCCACTGGCAGCTCTAAGGAAACAGCTGGATTCAACATTGCAGAGAGAGGTGCCACAGCGCGGTAAGCACAATCACAACCAAGAAAGGGCAAAGGGGTGAGAACTGATGGACTGGCAGATTATGTTTGAACCGCATGTCAAGGTTGAGTTAATACTTATGACCTTCTGATCTGAGGTTTTTAATTTTTTTTTTAATTATTTTTTAAAATTCAGTATTTGGGGGATTTATTTGTGTCTTTTTCTAAATTAGGGACAGAGAGAAACTTCCTTTCTTCATTTGACCTCTGCCCAGAATTTCTGAGCCAATGCCTTAGTTATGCTTCTTATTCTACCAGTACCTCTTCAGTATGCAGGTCCCTGATTCACTGTCAGGCCATATCTGCAATGAGAAAAAATTCATGAGCATCTCATTTATTCCTTGATTTCTGGGAAATGTGCCTCAAACTAACAAATAGAAGCCCACTGCTACCCTCACGGCATTAAAAACTATCTGTGTTTGCAGTGCAAAGAAAAAGAACAGAATGAGCAGCTGGGAATTAGTTCCTTTCTCCTCCTGAAGAAAAACTTTACTAGTCTGTTAATAACAGAATGTGTAAGAGTTTGTATTGCATATGCTGTGCCTGCTCTATGGATACTCATGGAATTCACTTCCAAGACTTTCTGTGACCCCTTTAACAGTCATTAAATTTACTGCAAGAGAGTTTCAGAATAGCTAGCAAAGCCTGTGTAACTACTAAATACTTCATGTGTGCCCTGAGCAAAGACTCAGGGTGATGAGTATGGTTGTGGGAGTGCAAATAATGTAACCGCATTTGTGTAGGTGCTGGAGAGAGGCAGGGCTTGTTAGCTGAAGCACAGTCTCATGCTAGTATATCAGGAGCTCAAGTTTCCAGCTGGTGTCTCAGCGTGGTTTGTGCTTCACTTCGTGGACGTTGCATCCTGCCCAGAGCTGGACTGGGACTCTCCGGTCTGGCAGTTCCGCAGTGTAAGCAATATCTTCCAGCCATAAGACAAGCCGTAGGAATTTAAGGCCAGATCAGGAAGGCTGGTTAGGTGCCCAGCTTCTGTCTAAGCACCAAACTCCCCTACTAGATTTCAGAGGGAGTTATGCAACTAAATGTGTCTGTGCATCTGGGCATTAGTGGTTTTCTCCAAATAAAATGCACTTAAGCCAACTCTGGGATGGGAAGAATTCATCCCAGTTGCCTGCCACTTGGCAGCCATCCTAGCTGAAGCCCTTTCAGATGAAATTATTCACTTGTGCAACTGCTGCTGATCTTGGTCCTTCTATGTTTGCTCATCCTTTTGAGGCATCGCTTTCCCTGTACTGATTTCTGCTGATCCTAAGATTCCCTGAAATGAGGAATGGGAGATCAAGAAGATTATGTGCTTTCAGAACATGCATCTAAAATGCTTCTGTCCTCTCTCTACAGCAATATGTCAGCCCAAGCACGTGAATTGGTGGAGCTAATGAGAAGCAGCTCAGTAAGTGGAACTTGGGCCACCCCTCAGTGCTCCCGTGGCCTCTGGGAGATGACTTTAATTGATGGGATGCTTGAGTAGTGAAGAGTGCTTTACTGATGGAAGAAAAGTCAGTGTCCTTGTCTCTGGTGTGCTTTCCAAGATGAATGTGCCAGGGATTAGCCTTTAGGAGATGATAATTTACCTATACAAATCCATACAGGTAAGGTACAAATACACAAGGCAGAGACTAATGTAGGGTGCAGTGCGGCCAGGAGTTGTAATGATGGTAGTGAGGAAGAGGAGAGATCTGAAGGCTCTGGGGAGATCACAGGACTCCTTAGTTGAACGGCAGCATTCAAAGTGGAGGTCATAAAGGCTGAGTGTAAAATCGCTGGAGCGGGCACCCGGTGACCACCATGAATCACGCTATTCACTCTTGGGTCTGGGAAATGGCAATACTGGAAAGGGGGACAACTGAAGTCTTCCCAGGAAGACACAGAGGGTCTCCCAGGAGATTAGGCCCTCTGAAACTCTGGTTCTGAACAGGCAAGTGATTAATCAGTGGCCAGAATCCTCAGGGCTGGGTGAATCCCTGTCATGCCACAAGCTTTTAGGGAATTAGTAGGGGATCTAGCATTGTGGACCAGTCTGCTGTGCCAGCTCCACTGAGGGCTACAAAGGGCACCAAAAGGGTGACCCGCTTTTAATTCAGTAGCTGCTGCTGCAGTTTGGGGTGGGGGGAGGAAATCTGGGAGAAAACCAAGGCTGCCCTGCTCCAAGTGTTGGCTGAATTTGAGCGGATGATAGTCTGGGTGTGAGCTGTTGGTTCAGGGAGAGCACCCTGTAAGGGAATGGGAGTGCCTGGTGCTCCTTGGCTCAGGCTGAATGGGAAAGGAAGGTACCGAACAAGCAGGATTTGTCAAAGCATGCGTCTCTCTGTGCCAGCACTCTTGATGGATGCTGCATGCTAGTCCCACTGTCAGTTACTCTGCATTACCGCTTGTTTGGCAGAGTGAAGGGAGCTGGCATGGCTCTTCAATAAAATAGTATGTGGCTCTAGAGCTTTGTTTTATTCACTGCTTTTTATGCATCTTTTAAAAAGGGGATGAGGGAAGTCCCTGCCACACTTTGCCTCTTCATGAAAGGCTTTCTGAGCAAAGTGCTGGTTAAGGAGGAGAATTCAGACCTGTGGGTGATTCCCAGGCCCTTCCTCTATTTGTGGGATCCTTTTGCAGATGTTTGTTATGTAAATGCACCACACTAAAAATAGTTGCCTTTGATTCCTTTCTTTGTACTGAACGTTACAAAATGTTTTGATGAGATCCAGCTCTCAGCAGCGCCTATTGTTAGCTTGCAGTGACGTGGATGCTGCAGCTGCCCTTATATGAGCTCAGTGAAGTCACCAGCCTCCTGGACTCTTCTATTTTAACCCAGCTGTCTGTTCCCTGGGGTGCCCCTCGCCCCTCCTGGCCGTGGGGTAACACTTGCCCAGCTGGCAGGGATCCCCAGCAGCTCCAGTTCCACAGCTCCATGAGTCACTCCAGCATCCACTCCCACATCTCTTTGTCCCCACACTGCCTGCAGTGTTCAGCCACGGCTGGCAAATCTCTCCTGTCCATCCCTGTCCTGAAGCTAACATTCATTTAGGCACGCTTGCTGCCACAGACACATTTCTATGCTCAGCTACCCTGACAGATCTGGTCTGCTGAAGGGGATTTCCTTACGAAAGCCAAGGTGAATTGCAGCTAGACTAGCAAACGGTTCACATTTTTCCCCTGGACAGATGCCTTTCTTCTGCCATCTTAACTCAGCATGCCTCCTTTTCTCTGTTCTGCCATGTCGTCTGTACCCTGTTTACCCCCATTTGTGAATGTTACCTCTGCATGCCTAAGCAATGGATGATGCAATCTGTTTATTTTATGTGCCACTAGAATATTAATTTCAAGGAAGATTGGAAGCTGATCACTGTCCTCGTTGGAGGCAATGACCTATGCCAGTACTGCTTGGACAAGGTTTGTATCTCCGAATTAGGCATGCTCATCCAGGCACTTGGCAAGTGACCAGCCCTGAAAATTTAACCTTTCTCCCTCTGTGAGCCAAAGCTCCTCTTTGTTTAAAAAGGAACAGGACTTAGAAGTCCTGTTCCTTTCATCCGTATTGTATCAGAAACAAGTGCACAGCTTTTAATATTGGGGCACTGTAGCTCTGGAGTAATGCATTATTTAAGAACCAGCAACCTGCCCCATATTGAACAAAACACCAAGGATAAACTGAAGAGCTCTCCCAGCTTAACTGGACAAAGCAATCAAGACAGCGTGGTGTCTTAGGCATGTTCTGGGGACACAAGTGAAGTTTTATTCTGGAAAGCATCTCCACGCAGTAATTACTGAGGATGCCTGATTCTTGCTTCAGAATGACACCAAAAGAAATAACATCACTTTATAGTGAAAAAGATGTCTTTTATTTAGCTATCAGTGGTCATCCCCTCTGAAAAGGTTCCTGTGGCACAGACTGGGGGTCTGGACCCCAGCTCATTGAAACGACCGGGGACTGTTCTCTCAGGTTTGCTGCTGCCTGGAGCCTTTGCCCCCACAGCTACACCTCTATAACTACAGTCACAAAGTCGTTTTTCCTATGGGTTTTGTGGGGCCTGGCTGCCTTCGTATCAATTTCCCCAGATTGGCAGTTTAAAAAAAAAAAAAAAGTATCACTGTTCATAAGGCAAACTAGTCTGGTCTGAGTCCCATAAAAGACAACATGAAATCCAGAGATGTGATTTATGTAGTCACTCATCAGGCAAAGACTCTGCCAAGAACTATTATATACCTCAGGATTTTCTACAGAGATTAAGGGAATATATTAGTGACATAGAAAGACAAGCACTATATAACCTGTGTGCATGTGGCAATAAACCTCTTGATCTGAAAATATATCTGCCAACAAAGGCAAAAAGGAGCATCAAGTCGGTGTATCTTCTCACGGACTGCCTTGCAACTAGAGTCTGGGGACTCCTTTGCGCAGGCAAAACAGTTAAACTTCTCGGTTCCTGAAAGAAGACTGATACAATATTTATTTATTTTTTTTAATTACACAGGAAACCTATTCAGTGCAAAAGTATGTAAAGCACCTTCAGGACACTCTGGATATTTTCTATGAGGAGGTAAGCTTTTAAGATACCCTAGCAAGCTATGTTCCTGGCAAGCACACTGATGTTTTTCTCACCTCTGATAGACTGTCAGTGATTATGTTTCATACAAGGTCATCTTCCAAATAGCTGGAATCAGACTGCTCCTCAGCGCTGCATTTCAGCAACTGTATTGGATAGTGCCCTGAGAAAGTGGGCTGTAGTTCCAGGAAAACTGTGTATTTCACAGTATTTTTGCTGTGGACCAAATATAGCACGACCCTACTGCCAGTTTTGATGGCTAAACCAACTGTACAATGTTTCATTTACCCTAGAGAAAATGGAAATGTCCCAGGGAGTGAAGCAGCATTTCAGCTAGCTTGTACTAGCTGTCGGGAATTTTTTGGCTGACATCCACTGTATGTCTCCCTCCCCCTCCCTTTATACATAATCCTTGCACATGCCATTGGTTGCAGTCGGTGCCGTTTGCACTGACTCCCTGACCCTGCGGATGGCACTTCTTTCTCACTTTGTAGTGGTATCATGTTCTGTGACTTGGTATGTCTGGTGGTTATAATCCCTGCAGCTCCCAAGAGTCTTTGTCAACATGGTGGAGATACTAGAGATTTCTGGACTGCGTCAGGTCGCAGCAAGCTCTTTGGGGTGCGCTTTGACAGCAAAGTAAGTAAGCAAAACAGGTCTTTGCCTTTAAAGTGCTACTTTTTTGGATCAATCTAAATTGCTGCTACAGAAGGACATCTACACTGAGCTTTCCAAGCTACTTTCATTGCTGCCTTTACTTGATGCACTAGTTCCCATCAACTTTCTACTACTTCTTCCAATACTTCAGCGAAAAGGCATGCACCTGTAGATAGCAGAGTCATCACTTTTCTTCTCAGCTCTAAGGCAGCGTGTCACAGCACAAGTCACCATATAATTGCTGTACTACCGAACTTCAAAGCCTTTTTTGCCCAGCCACTCACTGCTCAGCAGCACAGGCTGATATCTCTGACACCTCTCCTTGTATTCAGTGCCGCATTACCTATGGTGCAGGCTGGGCTGCATACAGCAGAGTGCACAGCCAGGAACTGTTTCTCACACCTAATGGAGGAGACCAAAGTCCTAACTCAAAGAAGATTGAGGGACTTATTTTAGAAAGCAGCAGCTGTGCCTTTACAGGAGTCAGCGTGGACATGAAAAGGCTCTTTAGTCTAGTGGAGAAAGGTATAACAAAGACCAGGTGGTTGGAAGCTGTTGCCTAATGAATTCAAATGAAGTTAGGCACAGATTTTTAATAATAGAAGCTATTAACTACTGGAACACACTAGAAGGGAAAATAGTGAATTGACTGTATTGCTTGATGTCTTCATATTCATTCCAGGCACATTCTTAGAAGACGCATTTCAGTGAAGCACAAGTTATTACCTCTTGATATGGGGGTAACAGAATGAAACACAGTGGTCTGAGGAGTCAGACTACATGAACAATTTGTCTTTTCTATCTTTAAACCCCCAGATTTCTGAAACTCTGCTGTAAGTCTGTATGTAGGGTTTTTTTAATTCTAACACATGTGATTTCCTGCTAATGTGTGGCATATTAACCACTTCTGTGTCTGACTCAGAGTTGTGGATCCTGCAGCTCTTACTGGCTGTGACAGGTGTTCACTTTGAAAACTAAGTCAATAGGGATTTTTTTCTGAAGTATCTGTCCATCTCTAAGCCAACGAGGTGGCTCTCCTTCTGCATGTGAGCTTTGAGCACCTATCCTGAGCTTCTTGAAGCAGGCACACATTGCTGAAGAATTGCGTAGGCTATTCCAGGTTGGCTTTTAATTCTAGTATTTTTTTTGTTGAAGGAAAGTTTGCCCGTGTTTTTTAAACCCTGAGGAAAACTCTTCTGAACTACAAGAAATTAAAAGAGTTAACAGAGATTTTCAGGTAATACCTTGATTCTGTAAATGGTCATCTTCACTTGTGTCTCTTTATATTGCTTCCCTTCCTCTCATGCATATCCTCAGCAGGACAGAGAGGGATGACTGGGAAACAGCTTTGCTACAGTCTAACTAAACCCCTACCCAGCTAACTGGTTAGCAGCAGTGCAAGTCTTTCCCCACTGCCTTACAATTTGACCTCGGTTCTGAGCTGGAGGCAGATTGAGGCTGATTCTGTTTCCAGGTGCTGTTTTGACAGCTGAAAAGGAGTTACTGGTGATGGCTGTTTTGTTGATATGTGTTTGTCCATTATGAATCCAATGAATAGCTCACATGAATTAACGTGTCACTGCAAGGGTGACAGATTACCTTGCGTCAGCTGCTTTGTGGTAACTCTTAGCAGGGAAAATGAACTAAACCAACCTGATATTCCTCTCTTTTGCTAAGGGCTGAGAGTGTGCACACAGATAGCTTACCATGGGTCAGCTTGCTATCTAAGAGTAACTTTTCATAGCCTTGGGCATAAAATTGACTCAAATTTAACAAAGGCTATAAATAGCTAATGGAGCTATTGGAGAAGGTTTTTCCATCATTATTCCTATGAATACAGGAATCGCTGTATCAGTTCACGTTATGTTCTCCAGTCCTCCATTCTGGCTCTGGCAGTTGATGTTGTCTGATGAATCTGACAATGCTCAAAAAATCCATCTTGGAAAACACTTGTATAAACCTATCCAGGGGGTATTTTCCTTAACTAAGGAAGTGGGGTTAGGAATGTTTTGAGATATGACCAGGAGCATTAGAATTTATACCCATAAGCTGGCAAGTAACAATGAGATGTTTATTATCTGTATGAATGTCTATTGCCATAGTTTTCAAAAGTGGCAGGTGATTTTTCAATGCTTAAGTTGTATTTTACTTCAGGCACACCTTTCTGAAAAATCAAGCGAGCTTCAGTCTCAAGTTGGCCTTCTGGACTCATTTGTCACTTCTAAAAATTTTGGCCTTATGCCTTTTTTTTTTTTTTTAATTCTCTGTAAATTTTAATCTCATTGTGATTGTGCAGCACTGATTTCTATAAGTAAGGTACCAACTACTTTTTTTTTTTTTTAATTAAGCAATTATCCCAGTTTCTGTGCATTTTCCTCATGAAAATCTCTTCATGAACCGAATTATTTTCTTAGCCGTTCTCTGGACTGCTTTAAACTATTCAGCTGCATTTATACTAATAATTTATGGCTTCCTACATTGAAAGAAGTGTAATATGCATGTTTTTGATAGCTGGCAAATGTTAGATGAACCTTGTAAGTAACTTTTCTGTTTCCAACCGTGCAACTCCATACAGGCTGAAGCCTTACAGCTGATCAACAGCGGTCGGTACGAGGAGCGTGAGGACTTTGCAGTTGTCATGCAGCCTTTTTTCCGAAACACCTTGTTGCCCCTGGATAGCGTGAGTCCTGTTTTTCTTTCCCATTATGCAAGGACCAGTATCTTGATTTCCCTAAGTGAGTAAAATCCATGCTGCAAGGACTGTGTTTTCTTCTCTTTGCACAGTCTAGCGGCACAGGGTGGAACCTGCAACAAGAATGACAGAGGAGAAGACAGGAAAGACTGTGCTGCCTGTGAATCAAAATGGCTTTAGGAAACATTCGTAGTGTGCACACATTAAACCTAAGCACCCTCTGGCTTCCTCTAAACTGCGTGTTGCTTCCCCTGTCAAGGGGCTTTGTTGGCATTCACCAAGATTTTCTTCTGATCTAGGTTATGGAATATGTTCAGGTTTCCTTCACACGGAGACCAGCACTTGCATGCCTGGCTCATCCCAGCCTGGAAACAGGAAGCAGCCTTTGAAGCCAAACACTGATTCTCCTTCTTTTCTCCAGCCTTAGCATTATGTATGCTGTGTAGTTAGGGATACAAGTATTTAGCGTGAATCCTGATCAAAACCACCCAGTTTTGCATAATACTGACCCTTTTGTCACATCATCCCCATTTTGTTCTGGCAGACTTCAAGTCAAAAGAATGGTCACCATACAGGTAGTGATGAGGCAAATTCTCCCTCAGACAGACATTTGCCACAGCTCGATAAGCCCACAGTTTTTAATGTTGCCTGAAATTCAGCACTGTCGTGGTTTAACCTCAGTCGGCAACTAAGCACCACGCAGCCGCTCGCTCGCTCCCTCCCCCCGCCCCCCCCCGGTGGGATGGGGGAGAGAATTGGAAAAGCACAAGTGAGAAAAACTCGTGGGTTGAGATAAAAAAAGTTTAATAATTGAAATAAAATGATAATAATAATAATATAATAATAATAATAATAATACACAAAGCAAGTGATGCACAGTACAATTGCTTACCACCCGCCGACCGATGCCCAGCCAGTCCCCGAGCAGCGGCCCCCCCGGCCAGCTTCCCCCAGTTTATGTACTGAGCATGACGTCACATGGTATGGAATGTCCCTTTGGCCAGTTTGGCTGTGCCCCCTCCCAGCTTCTTGTGCACCTCCAGCCTTCTCAGTCGGTAGAGCATGGAAAACCAAAAAGTCCTTGGCTAGTGTAAGCATTACCTAGCAACAACTAAAACATCGGTGCCTTATCAATTTTGTTCCCATCCTAAATCCAAAACACAGCACTGTACCAGCTACTAGGAAGGAAATTTACTCTATCCCTGCCAAAGCCAGGACAAGCACAAATTTCAACACCTGAAAGGTTGTAAGTCCAAATTATAGAAGTTTAACAAGCAAGAATAAGCAGTTTTCTATCAGTTCTGTACAAGGTGGAGTGTGGGTCAATGGCAGTGTCCATGTAAGAGCTGAGACTGTTGGTTTAATGATAAGTTTACGTTTGTTATGAAAACCGTTGTGTCAAGTTGAGCAGGCTGCATTACACAGAAGGTCTCAAGTTGCAGTAATCAGCCCACAGTTACGAGTACCTAAGTTTATTTGCAGTGTCAAAATATGAGCATATTGCCTTTAGGAAGATACCAAAATTGTGAAGTGGGTATGCCAAGTACAGTGCACTATTAGATATAATATGTCTCATCTCAAAAGTTGAAATGTGCTGAGAAACACATTTTTGCTTTTATCACAGAACGGCAAGCCAGATCTGAGTTTCTTTGCTGCAGACTGCTTTCATTTCAGTGTAAGAGGCTACGCTGAGATGGCCATGGCTCTCTGGAATAATATGGTAAGAGGTTACAACCTTGATCCCTATGTGTTTGTGGTAGCAGTCCCTGCAAAAGATCATGAGAAAGGTGTCTGAAACAAAACAGTAAGCAAGAAATGAAATTGATATCCTAACAGGAGGGGGGCTGCTCAACTCTGAGACCCTTCTCAGTCTGCATTGCTTAGGAACACAATCCAAAACGGTCGTGTTGCATAAAACAGTGTAAGTCTTTGCTTATTCAAAATAAGAAATCCTGAGAGTCTTAATGTAATGAAAAATTCCCTTCTGGTTTGGTAAATAACTTGCATTAAAGCAAAAAATCAGCCTAGTTAAACTGTCAGTCCTCTAGGTTTCCTGAAAATGTCTGTTAAATGAGCTTGCCCTTCTTCAGTGAATTCTGTTAGATTTATTAGGAAAACATACATGTGATTGAATTCTTGCTGCCATTAATAGTGTGGACATGTTGTACCACCCACTCTAGTATCTGAAGCAATTCTAGTAGAGTCACTGAAACTAATGGGGGGCTGAAATCACACCTATGATGCCTCTGCTTGCAGTCACATTCCTTCTGTCATTTTGGGGGAAATGATAGCTTTTGAATAGTGCTGGAAGAGTGTGTAAGAGACACGTGCTGGACTAGATAACTCCAAGGTCACAGTTGCTTTCAGAACCATGATGTTTCCCATGGTGGAAGGAAGACTATGGCATTTTCATGCCACAGTGACATTTCCTCCTCTGGTCTCATAAACACCAGTACCCAAACACATTGTGGTAGCAGAAATCCTGTATCCTGGTTTGTACAAGAAAGAAGCATAAATGGAGGGGAATTTCTTCTCATTTTAAGTAAAAGTTTGAGCAAGATAAGAAACATACAGGATACTCCAGAATGAACTTGAGCACAAGGACTGGGAAATGCAGGGCAGAAATTTGCGCAGTTGCCCAGTATAGCATATGACATGTAGGTTCAGGGTTATAGAAAGCAGATGATGTACAGCGCGTGCACATGCTCTGAGTAATTGATTTGTGCATGCACAGCAAATCTGCCTGTTTTCTGTCAGGCTTCCCTGTCTGGGACTCCAGATGACAGCAGTCTGGTAGGCTTCATTGTGCGGTAGCTCGAACAGGGCTGATGGTGGCCCAGAAATCCCAGGCAAATGTAGAAAACATTCAAACTGAGCATGGCTGCAGGTTTCAAGAAAAAGAGATGGTACCTGGACATATGGTAGCCTTAAATTTGGCTTCTGTTGCCACGTGGTGTTCCTATTGGCCATTACTCATTCCTGAATCACCATGAGTCCTTTTTCTATGCCACCGGAGTTTTATTCTGTCCGGACTGTCACTCATTTCCTACGCATGTAAAGATATTGACACAAAGCTTTCTACTGGGGTGGCACGGATCGGGTTCTTACTGATGCGAAGCGCGACTATTCCCTTCCGTAGAGATCTGTCTGTCTATGCCAACTGAAGATTTTACTGTTTACTATTTAAATCTAGTTCTTGTAAGACGTCCCTGCTTTTCACTCACAGTCCATGTACGGCGAGGCTGTGCAAGCTTACTGTAAGGCCGTATTGTTTCCCTGTTCCCTGAAAAGCTCAGCAGGCTGTAGGCTTATGGCCAAATGACATGGATTCTTGTCAGTACACGTAAAGGGCCAGACTGTGCCTGGCCACTGCGTGGGTATGCAGGGACGGGGATGGCTTAAGGAGCCTCTCCCTCACTATGATGTTCTTTGCCCTTTTTGCTTCATGTAAAGCAAAGCACGCTCCTGCTCTCTGAAGTCAGAGGATTCTGTAGTCTTAAGGGGCCCCCACGGGTCCCAAATCCACCTCATCAGTCCCCTGGCCCAGGAGAAGAGCACACGGACAGTGTGTTTAGCTTGTGTTCTGCCTCCATGTTTGCCACATGCTCTAGAGGAGCTGTGTGTTTCTTCCAGAAGTTGCCCTGTACACTACTTATGGACATGGGGATACTGTCATCTTCAAAGCTCAGAAGCTAATGCTCCTGAGGAACAGATTGCATAGAGATGAAGCAAGCACAGCTGGCTACAGAATTTTGCACCTTATCATCCTTTGTGTGGGCTCTGCACTAGACTCCTTACCAAGTGCCCTGGCACGGGGAGTATTACAATTATCTAGAAATAACCAGTCATACTGTAGACAGAATGCTACAGGATATGAGCCACGCATCTTGCAAATAACCACATCAGAATTTGAGCTGTTCCCTTTAAGATGCAACGAAACTACCAAATTCAGCCTTCACAACATTAGCTGGTGGGCAGGCCAAGTGATTCAGACTCTTATGAGAGTCCAGCAGGACCCCACAACAATCAGCAAAACTTGGCATTCTGTTTTGCTTCGCATCTTCTCTCCACTTGCTAGCTTTCTTCCCTTCCCTAGTCATATTTTGCCATGGTTCATCTCTCTTAATTTTTCAGCCTTTACTTCCTTTTTTCTTTTTTTTTTCTTTTTTTTTTTTTTACTGAACTAGCAAGAGAAAGTATTCCCAGTGTTTCCATACGGAAATCTTATGAATAGAATTTGTTTTCTCTGTGTTGTGTTGGGTTTGTTGTGGTATTGTTTCTCTCCACCATACAGCTGACACTTTAATCACTTGAGGACCGTAAATGCACGTATAGACAATAGCAGAAGCACCAGCACTCCTCTGCGCTGTATTCCCAGAAGTGCTGGATGACAACTCTGCGGTTCTCTATGGGCCAATCCTGAAGTCATTACTTCAGGCATGTCCATACACAGTTGTAAACACTTCAGTTAACATGACTGAGCAAGCCTCTACTCGTTAGCTTAACTATGGTAACCAATGGTACGTGCACTCCTAGCCAACCACAAATGCTATGCTATTAGCCTGGACATATTTTGAGTTTGAAATGGACTCGGGGTGAGCTTATGGTTAGCTATTGCAACTTAGCTGACAATTGATAGTATAAAAAGCTCTATTTAACTCACTTCTTGCAATCTTGTGAACTTAGCCTCAGCTAAAACTCCCAGGGAATTTCTTGCCTGAGTGAAGACTGCAAAGATTGGCACCGTCTCGTCCTGTCTCTGTAACTCCACGTCATTTCTGAAGTCAATTCCATCACCGTGACACCTAAGCATCTTTCTTTCAGTACTGTGCTAAGTAACATGACTAACATCTGTTGTGTGTTTTCTTTTTTTTTTCTTTGTGGTTTATACTGTCATTTGAGATGTGTATGTGGGAGAACTGGGTGTATAGTGAACCTCTTTGTTTTAGCAGAATATTTAAAGTATGTGATATTCAGAGTTATTTTCTCCTCCGCTTAGTGCAAAAGGAAGAAAGGTTTCTCCTGTTCCTTGCTTCTTGAGGCAGTTTTTCTGCAGACGGTACATCAGATTCTCAATGTCTTCAGTTCATGAGTGTTAAAATGTTTGGAAACTTTCCTGTGATGTACCTTCTACCACATTTCTTCATTGCGGCAAGGACCAAAAGATTGGATAAAAAGTTGTAACCACCCAAGTCAGGAGGGTCTGAGGAGGAAAAAAAATCATCATGATGTTCACTATTGCTTTTCTCTTCTTCAGCTGGAGCCAGTTGGTGAAAAGCAGACTTGGAACAACTTTACCCATGACAGATTAAAACTCAAGTGTCCAAACCCTGTAAGTAAAGGCCAAGATGTCCACACTCTCCATTAATCACTTTTTTCTCCTTTCTTTTTATTGGTAAAATTCTTTAAAAGAGTATCTTTGTGAAGGCTTTAAATAGCTAAAAGATACTCCTGTTTTGTTACACACAGGAAAACCTACTTTAATGAAAAAAAAAAAAAATTATCCTCACTGCAGTGGAAAGCCTCTCATTTAAGCCAGTTTTAATGAGTCTATGCATTTCCATTTGGTTGTCTGCAGCAAACAAATTGGGAAATGATGCCATCACTCTCTGAGATGGCTCCTTTTTTTGTTCTAGCAACTTTCAGGCAATAGGGCAGGAAAGAGTTTGAGCTAATATAGACAGAAGGCAGAAACAGCTGGTAGTCTGTCTAAAGATTGACAGTTCCTCTCTGGGAAGGGGTGATGGCATATTGTCTGAATGCTGCCTGTTGAGTGGTCTGTGGTCAGTAAAACCTTTGCTCTCTCTTTGTAGGAGAAACCCTTTCTTTTCACGCTGAGAAATAGTGGATTCAGAAATTCAGATTTCAACTTGAAGAAAACCGAACCTTCAGTCCCCTACTGGGCTGTCATTGTGGCTGCAGTAGCTGGAGTCCTGGTGGGTTCTTTACTCATCTGGCTTGTGTCAGGAAGAGGAGCCAAGAGGCGCCAACATGAGACTGACACAGAAAAGAACATTAAAACGACATCTCTGTAAAGCAAGTGGAACAAACATCTGTCTCTGCTGAGGCTGCTCTCTGGTGTGACGCAGAGAGCAGCAGAATAAAAAAACTTGGATATAAATGAAGCTGCTTGGTTAGCCAGGGATTTTGGGGCCCAATAATCTTGATCAGAAATGTACTGTAGAGTGAGCTTCTGCAGGTCAGTCAAGTGGAGGATGAAGTTCGAAGCGCTGAACCTTTTTCATTCTGGGATGCAAATCTCCGTTTCATGAATATTACTCAGGATGTCAATTGCTTGACTGAAGTGAGAAAACTTGTTCATGCATCTTGGCACCTTAATGTGCATCTGCCCTTTTTTCTTATAAAACTGTATATAAAATGTTAGCTACAAGTCCATGATTGTGACCTGGTATTCTCCAATAGCAAGGTAAGTGAGATAAAAAAGAAAAGCTGGAATTTCACATTTTGGATTCCAGCAAGACCACCGAGTTGAAGGTGCTAAGGTCATTCTACACAGGCAAGTACAATGCCATGGAAACATGTTTAGGCCAACTTCTGAGCAACCCGGACCATCCATGTGGCAACCCTGGTGCAGTGCTGGGCAGCACAGCTAGAATAACTGCACCCTCTCCACCGCCTTGGACTCCAGGATCCACCCGTCTGGGACTGGACGTGGAGCTGGGCCATGCACGTCACCTCTCTTCTAGGGCTAAATAGCCCAGGGGCAGTCCCGTACCCTCCTGCCCACCACTGTACCACAGCTGGTTCCAGAATGACTCTTCCTGTGAAGAAGGAATTTCTTCACTAGTATGCAGTAGGGGGTCTAAACAAAAATGAGGTACCTGGCTGGCAAACTAGCCTGGCTTAACCCTTCTCAGATGACCTGTGGTGTGTTCAGGTCTCCCAGGCTGGAGTCTCCATGTCTGTTCTCCAAGGAAGAATTTGCAGGTTTTTTAAAAATTCTGATCAGGAGTTCAGAGATCTTTCCTGGAAATTAGACATTCCTTATTTTATACTTGCAAGTCAATTCACACGCTCTACTAGTACAGAAGATACTTCACAGGTTCTCTGTGATCTTGTTTTCCAAGATCTTTCTTATTCCTATGTCAAATACTTTACATTTTGATTTTATTGAAGCCAAAGCGTGGTTTGCACTGGTGTAATTTTTTGTGAGGTGTACTACATTTCCACTCCAGAAAAGCAAATGAGCAGAAAATTGAAATGTTTCAGAGAAGAAAGTGTTCTGGTGTTCCTAAATCTACTCATTATGCACACAGAAGGTATTCAGGCTCCTTCTTTTTCCATTTCACTCCTGTCATTGTCCTTGCTAAGATAAAAAGAGGTGGGTAAAATAAATACAAGTTGTATAGTCAGGTTTCAGAGGCTGCAGCTCCACTCACCTCTCCTTTGATCTGCACTCAAAGGTTGGGCTATTACTAGTAGGACTTTTATTTGCCTAAATCTTATCCACAGATGTGGGAGCTCTACATGCAGCCCCAAGTGGGGATATATTGGGAATGCAAAACAGAAGCATCTGCATCTTGTTTCAGTGCAGCACAGGCATCTCTGTTGCTCTTCCTGTCCCCATCTTCACTGTGGGTTGTTAACTATCTACCTGATATCCCAACTGCTGCTATTTATTTAGCTCAGTAAATGGAAGCAAACACAGCCTCAAACCTGCAATGCAGGAGACAAGATTTACTGTATTCCAGTCCATTCCACAGCACCTTCACCTCAGACATATTGGAAAATATAAGCCTCACAAGTGAGGAACCTGAGCAAATATCCCAGTGGATCATGAAGGCTGCAATCTCCTCTCATCCCTAAATGTTGTTTTTGTGGGTCCTCTTCCCTCCTGGGAGCCTGGATAGCTACTGCTCATACAGCCCTTGGCTTGGGAAGGAATAAAAAGATATAGTTCTCTGCAGAACCTTTCATCAGTACTAGGTATTTCAAAGGAAACTCAAAACAGTAGTTCAATGCTGATTTACCTTTCTAAATCATGTGTGCGTGCATGAAGTGGGGTGAGGGTCCTAGAGCATGAGTTAGAGGTACAAAATACTGCAGTTTCTCACATCAGGTTTGTCCTGCCTAGAGATGGGTACAAGTGCGTCTTGAGTTTCATGCTGGTGTCCCCTGCTATAATAACTAGACATTCCCTTTCCTCACGTAGAAAGCTAAATTTGTTTTGAGCTTCTGAAAGCCAAAACATAAGAGATGCAGCCAGTTGGGAAGTGAGGGTAAAGGTGGCTGAAGGATGCTAGACGGTAAATAATTCTTGCGCAGGAGCCAGGGTGACTCCACTTTGGACTGCAGATTCCCAGTTCCCTGTGGCATCCAGCTCCGTAAGGAATGCTGCCTTTATTGACACTTTTGGCATCTGAGAAGCCATCAAGCTTAAATTATATTGGCCCTGTGCTGCTTCTGCAGCAGGAGACTTTCCCCCTAGTTTCTGTAGCTGTGGTGTAGCTCCACTGCATTGCTATGGCAGGAGCACATAGGAGCTGGAGCATGAACTGGCAGGCTTCTCAGTCTATGGAAGTATCTTCTGGCATCTTGGTTATGTAGACTGAAGTATGTGATGAACTGCACTGACATTTAAAAAAACGTCAAGAATGATGCAGTTTGCAGCTGCTCCACAAGCAAAATTATTTCCTTGAAGATATTACTGCTGCGTGTTCCCTCTGTGCTCGTTAAGCGGAGGTAAGATTAAGCTGAAGTGAATGATAAATGATTAGGTCTGGATCTTAGTCTGGCTGCATTCAGCGTCACATTAAATCAGAAAGTAATCTGTACATCCTGTCTGTCAGTTGTCCATTCCCCCTTTTTTCTTTAATAACGTGCCCTTGGTTTCAAATGCCCTCATGGCATTTTTCCTCACTGGACCGCTGAGTAGGCCAGATCGCCTACTGATGCACAAAAGAAGAGAAGCTTAGGAGGAACTTCAAGTCTGTATGGAAAAATGCATTAAATGGATGCCATCTTAGCCCAGGATTTTGCTCTGGCCAACGGTGGTCTCACCCACCACTCAAAACTGCCTCTTCTGTGTAAAGTGATTTCTTAACATCCTGGGAAAACAGGCTTTGTGGATTCTTCCTCTGGAGAAGAGCTACAGCTCAGGCCGCATGAGCAGTCACTCTCCAAAGGACTTTTGTGGGTACTGGCCTTGCTGCCCAGCTCTGGTTGTTGTGAAGGGCGTTGGGGATAAGTGTTATGCTGTTGCCTGGTCCTGAGAAGTAATCTGTTCTTCAAACAGGGAAGTGATGGTGCCCGACAAGCGTTGGCAAGTCATTTGTCTACAGCTTAGGCAGCAGACGAGTTCAAGTTCTGGCCTCCTTTGCTGCTGCTGCTGGGCCTCCCTCTCGTCATGGTACAGTGTCTGTGTTTTGCTTTGTAAGGTCAAGTGGCACAAAAGAGTTTCATCTAGGGTCAGTTTGCCCCAAAGTCCAGTTTAGGTGCTCGGTGAACTTAGGGAAGAGAGGGAAAATTCAGAAAAACATCTGCACAGAAGAATTTTGTGTGGCTTTGGAGATTGCTAAATGTTTCCTCCCACCAGCTTCAGGATGGTGAGATACAGATGTACTGATTACAAATGATGTCACTTTACCAGCTGGTCAGTATGTTACAGATTGGGACATCTGGGCAAGAATTTTGCTACTTTGAGGGGTATTTAGCTAAAATGTTGAGGTGAAACAACCCCACCCCAAAGAGAGGGGTATGGAAAAGCCCTGGATTTTTACAACTCTGCGTTTGCATTGATTCGTGTTCCCTCAGGTATTTAAAGAATTTGCTACTGGAAGACCACAGGTTTGCAATGCTTGCTCTTTTTTACCCTTTTTTTAGAAGGAAGGCATCTGGGATTTTGGGAAAAGCAAAACAAAAGTCTATCCATAAAGTAGTTCACAATTTACTTAAATGAAACAAATTTTCTGGGTATCGTAGACCTCTGAGCATGACAGGGAGGGGTGCTCCTGAGAACTATCATGTTAAAACTATTTCTGTCCTGAGTTCACAGTTTGCTCATCCAGGGACCTGAGAAGTATTTCTAGCCACAGGAGTCTGTATCCAAAAAAGGGGGTGGTGGAAGAGGGGAAAGAGGCTGGCACGTTTTAACTTAGCACATGCTGAGTATCTTCCATTTAACTGTCAGCAACTGTCCTTGCTACCACTTAGCTTTTGTGAACACCAGATGTTACACCATCTTTCACCTATTGAATTCCTTTCTGAGTTCAGTAGATTTCTCTCAGGCATTTTGAAACCCAACACTATCAACACACACCTGACTGGGGGGTGGTGGGGGAGCTTATTAACTTCAGCTGCTTTTGATGAACCTCCTAGCACAAAGCAAAAATTGTTCTGTTTTGATCATCAGAGAGAACGGTCACTCAAGGGAGAAGACAGAGAGCCCATGGCTTGAGCAATTTTAGAAAGAAATCCAACAAAACACAGGAGACCTTATTTAAGGGGTGGTTGGAACTACTCACTGGCTAGAAGCTGGAAGAAGTTCCCTTATGCCTTTCCATTTCTGTGACCTATGTAACCGTCACTCATAACGCAGTCATAACTAGATTAAGTTATGTGGATTTTACTGAGAAAACTTCATTCACTGAACACTCTG